GTATCGTTTTATCATTTGACAAGCTCAATACAATTATTATATTAAGTTACTAATTTACAGATTTTCTGAAAAAATAGCGAAGCTTAAATCAGCTTGGAAGAGAAGTTTCAAACAAACCAACAGGAAACGTGAAAACGTGTAGGAAAACGCTCGGTTTTAACACGAAAACCACCCGCATGCTAAAGTCCGTGAGTTTCCAATAGAAGGCTGGTAAAGCCAGAAAATCCGATAAAATCCAATAAAACTACCTTCTGTGAAGGAAACGTTAATCGGCTAGGTCTGTTGGCGCTTTTGAAAAATGGAATGGATTTAAAGAAAGCCAAGAATGTATACAAAGGCTAAAAGAACAACAAACTTTGGGGAGTCAGAATTTTGTTCAATAAGTCTGTTTCCCCTTAGTGTATATGTTCTAGCATATGCTAAGTTGAGCTTAGATCAGGAGAATTAACATCAATAATCATAATTGTTCAGATATCGATATCACTAGTTAGCAGGCGCCCAGATAATAAGAACTCAGGCAGCTTTCCACATCTGCTTCTATCTTCTACGGCAAAGTTTGCAAAAAATATTTTCAGGAACGTGAATCTGCCTAGCAAGTTAAAATAGTTAAGCTAGGTAAGGTCATCCCACTGCAGTCAGGCTTTCATTCACAATATTTTGTTATTAATTTACTTTCGCAAAAGATAAAATAAGTTGTAAAGGACCAGATTTAAACACACATTTTTATAACAGGCTGCCATGATTGAGACCAGGAAAAATGCAAAGTGAATAAAGTACGCTATTCTATCTTAATACTCACCCAAGGCACCGTAGATACACACGTCTTCATATTATTAACTTAAGATGGATATGCGCTGATAATAACTACCCCGTCTAACTTGAAACCTATCCCATCACCCGCTCGTACACTTAACAGACCACATCGGAGAATGGTCAAAAGAAATAATCAGAAGTGACAACACTTTGCTACTTAGGGCATTTTGCAACTCCACGAAACCGAATTGCGCAAGACAAAACGTCGCCGTTAGAAAAAAAAACAGCAGTCCACCGGTCCCCTTCTCCCCCCCTCCCCGCTTCCCTCCCCCGAGAACGGAGAAGCCAGACGACGTGCCTTTTTGGTACATTAACATGGCCACGGTTCCACTGAGTAAGCGCGTTAACGAGAAGAAGTCAGTATTTTCTCCGATAAGCCTGTTTCCCTCTATCGTATGTGTTAAGATAAACTTAGATAAGGAGGGTTAAGTTAAAAATCATAACCTGCAGATATGTTGATACCACTAACTATCGAGCGCCCAGATGATTAGGAGGCAGGCGGCTTTCCATATCTGCTCCTAGTTGCTACGGTAAAACTTACACAAAAATATCTTAAGGAATGCGAATGTTCCTTGAATGTTAAACAGTGTTCTGAGCGACGGAACGCCAATCCGCTGAAATTAGACTTTCATTCACAATATTCTGTAAGCTAGGGACATTCGCTAAAAGATAAATTGTATTTAAATGGTCCAAACCTAAACACGCCTTTCCCTAACAGACTGCCATGATTGAGACCAGGAAAAATGCGGGCTAATCTTGGAGGAAAACAGGATGCTATACTCCCTTAACACTCTACGTCAACTAAGCCGCCTTAAATACACAATCCTTTACGCTATTTATTTCAAATGAATATGTGCTGACGGCAACTGCCCTATGGAACTTAAAACCTATCTCTCACGTGGTCTTGCAGCTAACAAACCATGTCAGAGAATGGGTGAAACAAACAATCGGTTCCGCCTAAGTGACAACACTTTGTTACTCAGGCCCGTTTTGCAACTCCACGAAACTGAATTGCGCAAGCCAAAAAGTCGCGGTTAGAAAAATAAAACAAAACAGCAGTCCACCGGTCCCCTTCCACCCACCCCCTCCCCGCCTCCTCCTCCCCCGCGCGAACGGAGAGGCAGGACGACGTGCCTTTTTGGTACATTCGCATGGCCCCAGTTCCACGGAGTAAGCGCGCGTCAACGGGGAGCAAAAAAGGTGTGTGCGTCTTCTTCGTCTTCGCCTCGACAGTCTCTGTGTTTGCGCATTTTACGC